GGGACCCGGACAGGAACAATTTGGCTTCTTGTGGATCCTACATCTTCTGTCTCTCATTTTTCTTGCCTCTTAACTCTTCCCCAGTGGACTCCAGTAAATATACTTTAGCTCAACTGCAAGACATGAGCTAGCTGCAGGATCCTGGGATGAACATGCATGGCTTCTATCATGCAGGAACTTGAGATTAGTAGATGTGCCCCCTAGGTACTGACTTGCCTTCCTCCATTGTATTTTTTTTTCCTTGACCTTCCAATTCACAGCCCAGTCTGTCTTTTCAGTAGATACAGGCCCAGACCCAGACCCGGACCCTAGGGTTGAAATCCAGAACCCAGACCTAGATCCATCTTCATAATGCTCCAGAAATCATAGGGGCTCGAAAGCCTGTTGCACCGTCCACTCCAAGTCATTTATTCCAGGATTCTGCATTTGCACCCATGTGTGCAGCTCCAACTTCAGCGGATCCCCAAATAGCTGCAGGGCACCAAGCACACACAGCCTTAGTATTTTATGCCACAACACCTCTGGGGCAAAAGTTGTCTGTCCCGCGGAGCCTTCTCGGTACCTGCCATCATGATGCTCTCCCATGTAACCACCCTGGTTGTGTGCATTGGCTCATCCCATATAACCTGGCTGCCATTCCTGGGTGCTCAGCATCTCATGGAAGTGGCCCAAGCATCTGTTTTCAAAGAGGAAGCTGAACACACAGGTGTTTTGCTGTCGCTTTCTTAAACTTTGTTCCTTTTAGCAGCCAGGGAGAAAGAGGCATATTGGAAATGTGGAACTGTTCCTAGTCGAGCTGTTTTCCAGGAGGACCCAGTGGCTTTTTAAGGCAAACAAACACAACCATCCCTCTTTGCATCTGAGGCTGTCCAAGGCATCTCCCCTGCTGTGGATGCAAGGGCTCCATTTCTTTGGTTCCAAGCTATGGTCTTGTTCATTGCTAGTTTCTAGGCCCCTCCCTGCCTCGGTGTGCAGAACAGCCCTACAGAGAGGGGGCAAACGTGTGACATGCACGGCGGGGGGGGGAAGCAAATATGTTCACTCCACCGAGGGAGGGAAAACTATATTACATGGAAATGTCTGCAACCACGCAGCCCGCTCCTGACAGAAAAACTTCCAGGGGAAGGGGGAACTGGAGGCAATTGTGCTCTGTCTGAAGGATCGGATGGGTTTCATCGCCAGAAACGGAGAGGGACTCATTCGGATGGATGCACGGATGGATGGATGGAGGGCCAATGATGCTCCCTGCCCAGGGAACAACAGCAGCTTCCAAGCTCTGAGAAACAGTCAAGTTGTCCTTGTGTCAAGAAGGGCCCAAGACACCAAGCAGGGATCAGAGTGGGATCTGACCCCTCCCGGAGCCTGTGCTTGCATTGATACTCGGAGAGCCGGTTCTCTGATCTTTGTGCCTCATCTTTGCTCGCAGCAGCACAAAGGCTGGGCTACATCGGGATGAGCTCGGTTGTGAGCCCCGTAAGTAAAATGAAAAAGCATCCTCCTTTGCATGGGCTGGAAGCATGAGCTGGGATCTACGTGTGGGCAGAGCAGCTGCTCTCCTCGCATTCAAGGTAGGAGGCTAAGCCGTCCCCTTGAATACGCTGACCTGCCTTCTGGAGCCAATGCAGAGGAGAACCAGGAGTGACGCCTGGACTTACAGACTACCTGCTTCTTGCCCTGTGCAGGGAGCAGTCAAGCTAAATATTGCCCCTCACTCGGGCTGGCACAACCCATCCCAGTGGCTCTGCACTGGCATTCACGACTCCCTAAAATGCAAAGCAATGGGGCATTAGTCCCACAGGCCAGGACCGGGCCTTTCCCTGTCCTGCTGGTTTCTGCTTTTTGCAACAGATGGCAGGATGATGACAGTGACGGCTGAAGCCTCCTCTCAGAAAATGAGAGGAGACTCACTTGTGCTGCACGCCCGTTGTGTTTGAGCCCAATGCAGAGGGGTGGTAGAGGGGCACCTGGTATGTGGAGAAATGCACAAGGCACAATTTGGCTTCGAAGCATGGTGTTTGGCAGGCTGGCTGGTGTGGGGGTTGGTGACTGGAAGGTCACTTCTCTTCCCCTCCAGTCCTTCAGCCACTGGCTCAAAACTAGCTCAGGTTTGGGAAGCAAGTGGCTTAGGGGTGACTAGCTCCTCCCTTTGCATTCATGCCTGGCTAATAGTGATGGGACAGGGGAGGCTGCCGGCTAGCACAAGCAAAGGGAGTTTGGTGCATTTTGGTCCTGGCTGCCAGTGGATAGATACCATGAGGTGGTTTTACTTACCTGGCAGGGGAGATCCCCTTCTTGGCCTTGAATGACTCAATGTAGTTGAGGGCGAAGGCCCGACCCTTGCACTGTGGGCTGACCGACCCCTGCAAGAGTCTACAAATGCCTCCGGATGCCAGGATCTCGGCTACACAATTAATGGTGCTGGGGGCTTGTTCTCGGGCTCTGCTTCCAGCTTGCTCCCTCAGCCTTTTGGCTCGGGGCAATCAAGACTAGGGGGCATCTGAACTCCGAGGCCTCCGGGCTTGGAGCTTGCACGTGGATTTGGCAGTGTCTGCAGCCCCAGGCTGAAGAGCCTGGGAGGGAGGAGACTTGCCTCCACGACCAAGCTCTGCTTAGTCGATAGGATTCAGAACTGATTTGGCTGATTTGGCCTGAGACGCGAAGTTTCAAAAAAAGAAAAAAGGACTGTAAAACAAAAAAACCCCACTGTGATGGGGACAGATTAGTCCCCTGGTTGGCATGTTCAGGCGTAGGGAAAAAAACAGGCTGTGGAGATGGAATTTTCTTCTTTTTCCTTAAGTTCGTTTCAGGCCAAAGGGGAGGAGGCCCCTGAGCATGACACAGGCTTGTGGATGAGACCCCCATTTCTCACCTCCTGGCCCACTGGGGGCTGACCCTGTTCACACCTCTCTGGGGGTAAAACTGGACAGTGCTGCCCCGTGGGCTTGGAGCAGCGTTTAGCAGGTGCCGAGCTCCACGGAGCTCATTTCTATGCTGGAGTTTTCCCATTACAGGCAGCAGGAAGATTTAAGGCGGTGGCTAGAAAACAAAATGAGATCATTTTCTTTTACCAGCTCCTGTCAACTGCTGCGCCTGGAACCCACTGCCTTAATGGCACAGAGGAGAATAATAAGGCAGCCGGCATTTGATAGGCGAGAAAGTGTGGGGGATTCAGTCACAAAGAGAAGAGAGAAATTGCCTCCGAGCTGGGCATGATGCACGTTGGGCCGAATCCTTCCTTGGAGTAACTAGCACCAGTGGCTTCTGCAGTGTTTCTCCAGAGAGGAGTGCAGTTTGGAAATTCAAATAAATGCTTGTTCTTTATGTGATAGAGATGCCCCTACACTCAGCTACCTGGCTGGCAGGTACAGCAGGGAGGATGATAGTGCAATAGCCTTCCCCGTTGTAAATCTGGGGCCTGATTCAGCATCACAGCCATCTGCAGTGATTTATGCCAGGATAAAGTGGGTGTAAAATGCTACCGTTCCAATCTGACAGCATCTCACACCCACTTGGCACTTTATATAAATGGCTGCACAGAAAGCAAGAATCAAGTCCCCGAGCTTCAAATCTTCATCGGAGCACAAGGGCAGCGAGTTTCCCAGAGCTCTGCCAAATCATTTGCTGCCACCAATTCACAGGCTTGGTGCAGTTTACTCTTCCCAAGGACCAGGGCTAGAGAAGAGAAGGGCGGCATGGCTCAAAACTGAGCTAGGTTCGAAGCTCGGGGCCGGCACGGCAGAGGTGCGGCACAGTGGATGGGTTTTGTCCAGAGCTGACGATGGGGAGGATCACCAGGAATTGAGAGTTTTCTAGGTTTCCTCATGATGGGAACAGCGCAAGGAGTTGCAGGTCAGAAGGGCAGATTAATGATGGGACATGGGGGTAAAGCAAACCGCGTGTCTTGGATAGTTGTCTAAACAGAGGAGCGACGTCGACCTAATACCTGTGGCGTTCAGCATTTAATAAGGCGCTGCGTGGGAAACCGTTAGCTAATCTGGAGAAGATGGATTTTGGTAGAAAGAATGGATGCCGGGTTAGGAACGGGCTAAAGCAGGGGTGGGCAAAATGCGGCCTGGGGGCCAGATGCGGCCCGCTAGGCCAGTCTGTCCAGCCCGCGGGGCTCTTAAAAATTTAGAAAATTAATATTTATCTGCCCTGGGCTGCCTGTCATGGCTTGCCAAAACTCAGTAAGCGGCCCTCTGCCTAAAATAATTGCCCGTCCCTGGGCCAAAGGGAAGGTGCCAGTGGGTCGTGTTGGAAGAGGAAGTTGGTTTATTCTCTTCTTCAGCCTCCTGCCTTTGAAGTTATTCTGTTCTCTAATTGTGAGCCGCTCTGAGCCTCTGCTGGGAAGAGCAGCATACATTTCAATAAAATAAAGATGATCGCAATTACCACAAAGACTGAGACTGAGATGGCCCTACATGTTTAGGGAGTGATGGCGAGCACTTGTGTTGCTGGCGCTCAGCGAGGAGGCCCTTTCTGAAACAACAAGATGTGTTAAATCAGGCACCTGAACTCGCGCTCCCTTTCAGATCTTGGCCTGAAATGCCACCCATTGGGGAAAGGGCTGACATCCATCATCAGAGAAGCGCTGGTTGCCACCCTGCAGCAAGCACGCGGCTGTGAAGAGCTGCACTGCTACTGCTAGTGAAGGGACCTGCATGCCGCCTCCTGACTGCGGGCATGAAGGAGAAAGTGGATAAGTTTTCGTTTCTAATATCATTCCTCCCCACCCTCCAGAAGAAACTGTGAGGAGCAGAGCTGAGCTGGTAGGAATTTTCTGAACCAACGTATTTTAGCTGGAAATAAATGGCTTAACCCCTTGCCCCAGCATGGGTTTGTGTATAAAAGGTTTCAATGGGCCAAACAAAAAAAAAATCTGTTTCTTTTTATGAAACCTGAACACAAAAGCCAGTTTTGGCTTTCAATTTGCCGGGTTGAGTTATTTCCTTTTTTTCTGCCCCCGCCCCTCTTTCAATGACAAAAGGCAGAAAAACGGGGACAAGGCCTCAAAAGCCAAAACCTGACAATTGTTATCGGCTTAGCTTTTTGGACACCAAACAGTTTTCAGGAAAAGTGTTTGCAAAGCATTGCTCACGCACACGTTAGGGTTTCCTTTTCCAAATTCCTTTGAATTTTTCAACTTTTTGTGCAGCTCCTGTCCTTTATCCTGACTGGCTCCAGGAGCCTGGATTTCATTGCTCTGAAGTGGCCTGGGCAAGGGGAGCTCGTGAGCCCAGATGCGCCCTTCAGGGCAGTCGACTTCTCCTGGTGGCCCTTGGGACTTGTTTTCTGGTGCACCTGGTATCAATCCTCAGCCGTTTGCCTCCCAAACACCAGACGGGATCCTCTAATCCCTCTTCCCTCACCTGCACACGCCAACCATTATCACACCAGCCCAGCGGATGGATGGGCTCACATCAAGCCTGCTTATCCCGGGGCCTGAACTAGCCGAAAGCTGGCCGTTCTTGAGGCACTCTGTGTTAATCGAATGAAAAAGAAAGCTGGGCAAGATTCGAATCCAAGTCGCCGGCATGGCAAAGACCTGCTCAGCCATTAGCAACTGGAGCCTGGAAGGCTTCCACAGGTCTCTGGTGGGATAAAAGCTTGCAGATGTGAGAAACCAGGATCAATTGGAGGAAGATGAATGTTTTAGAGCAGCTTTGCATGTTCCCCAGGCCTTGGGCCAGGGTTCAATGGCTAAAGGGGGGCATTAATCGTTTCCTGTAGTGCACAGGAGGAAGAGTGGCGGTGTCCCTAGTCTCCCTGTTCCAGGGGCTGGACCAGTGTGCGTATTATTTGCTGAAAGGAGGCTGGTTTCCTTCAAGTCACTGACCCAGTGGTCCCTCCGGACTCCTGGGAATTTTTGGCCAGTGTCATGTATATAATTCCCTGATAGAAGAGTTGTTTGCTAAAGTCCCGTTCCCCTCCCCCCCCCCAACCCCTTTCCCGCTTCTCAGTCCTACGAGCAAGGGCAGCGAGCACCTTGCAAAGGATGCATCGGACACGAGGAGCAGATGATGGGCACGTCACCATTGGCACACACGGCTTTTTCACCTCTGCAACACGACAGGCAGCTGGGGCACCGTCCTGGCGCAACACTGGGGGCTCACGAGCTGGCTGGGCAGTCGGCTCGGCTAAGACACACACAGCTCATCTGAACTTTACACGGGCCACCTGGCACGGGTTGAGCTGCCAGGATGTACTCCTCCGTCCTCGCCTGAGAGAGGCCTCCCTCCCCACTGCCCAGATGTGGAGGGAGAGGGAGCAGGCCTGCTCAGATCTCAGTGGCAATGATGTCTTCATAGGGGACGTCAGCGCCGTGGATGTCCAGGTCGATGGGCTCTTTGCCATCCTCCCCTGTGGCCAGCTGCTGGAGCATCTTCTCCAGGTTCTGGTTCCTCTTGTACATGTGCAGGTAGCTCTGTTGCAGCTGCTTCTGGTACTGGATCACCTTCTCCTTCTCCTCCTTCCAGACCTGCCGCTCATGCTGGAAACTTGAGGTCATCTGCTCGTTGTTGTCTCGCTCTGCCTTGAGCTCTGCCTTCAGCCTCTCCAAGTCCCCCTGAAGGGCTTGGACGTCCTCCATTTTCCCGCTGGCCGGGTTGACAGGGGCTGCCCTGTCCCTCCCTTCCTTCCACTGCTCCTTGAGGATGGTCAGCTCTGTCCGGAGGTCCACAATCTCCTGCTCCAGTAGGTTCACCTTCTCCCTTAGCAGCTCTGACTCGTTCTTCTTGCGCTGGAGCTCGTTCTCGCACACCTCCAGCTCCATGGTCTTCGTGTGCAAAGAATCCTCCATGCTCTGGGTTTTCATCTCCACCCCATCCATTTTCCCTCTCACATCCTTCAGCTGGGCTTTCAGACTCAGGATCTCACTGGTCTTGGCATTGAGCTCTGTCTGAGACTCTTTCAACTGCTGCTTCAGGAGGGAGATTTCACCAGACTTCTGGCAGACCTGAGGGGGGGGTGGAAAACAGCACCTACAGTTAAGGCTACTGCTTAGAAACCATGAACCCTGGACAGAAGAGACCAAAACTATGCGTCATTTCGTTTCCTCCTTACCAGTACAGCCAGTGGCAGAAGTGGGGAGAGAACCCAGTGGTCCTGGCTGAGAAATCTGCTTTGGCCCCGGTGCCAAAGTAAGTTTTACACTCGTGTGCCACCCCTGAATGTTAAAAATAATTCAGTTGCAAACAACTACGTATAGAAAGGGCAAAATTCCTACCCATTAACACAGACTGGTGAGTGGAGCCTATCTGGTAGTTATGCCAGGTCTTGGCATGAATGAGTCTCGCCCACCGCCCAAAGCACGGCTGTAGGAATTGGGCAGCTGAATCCCAGTGACACTCAGTGCGACCTGAACTCCCAAATCCCTCAACAGCTTTTGAAAATCTCTTCTCTCGAGGATGCACTTTCAAGGGCTCTGTACCCGCAGTGCATCAAGGGCCCCATTTCCAGCAGCTCCTGCTGTTAACGCTCGCAGCCAAAATGTCCAGATCCAAATACCACCAAGCCATCTCAAGCACGAAGCTATTCTGGACACCGGGCCCTTCAGGAGCACGGTGCTGCCATTATCAGTTTAGGCACAAATCTATAGAAGTACTTAAAATGAAAACTCACATATGACAAAGAGTTAAAATCAATTTATACTAGGTGCTGCTGCCTCGTGAACAGATTAGACCCCAAATAGCAATGCTTCTGTCTGTGTGGCAGGGATGAATATCTGTTGCTGTTTTTATTCAGACTGTGAGGAAGGGAATGTTGCCCTTGAGTTTTCAGCAGTATAAGTGTCTAGTTTTAACAATGCCCAATCAATAAGAAAATTACATAAAACTTCAGCTGGGATTGGGGAGGTTTTAATCCTCTTTGATGAATGACCAAGATAACCCCAGGTAGTTGTTATTTATGTAAGTGGAGCAGCTTTACTGTTCCTGCGGGGGCAGTCCGCAGCGTGAAGATTTGTGTGATTGGATATTTGAACAACTGAGTTATTTTACTGACCCATTTTTTCCAAACAGTATTTTTCTGTGCAGTACTGAGTGGATGGTGGGGGGGGTGTTGCCCCACTGAAAAACTATAAATTGGGGGAGCAGAAGTTGGGATGCTCATTCACTGTATTGACAAGGGAGGTTTGAGGTGGATGAGGGAAGACAG